GGTTGGTTGGTTGGTTGGTTGGTTGGTTGGTTGGTTGGTTGGTTGGTTGGTTGGTTGGTTGGTTGGTTGTTCCTGTTTCATTTATCGCTCTTTTCGCTCCTCATTATTGGGCAATGAGCAACAGGGAGGGGCTAAATAAAAGTTACCATGGATCTATCCTTCATGTAAAGATAACAAACCATTTAAGTCGCTGGTCTTGACGTGGTTAGTCACAAAAGACCTTACTAAGGACAAGGGAAGAATGGAGTCGAATGGCCGGCAGGCTACCCTCGAACAATAAGTGCCCTTGAAACCCAGCATCATTTTCTGACTCTGGTTGCATATTCAAGGTAAGTTTTAACATTTTACCTACTCCAAACCCTCGAATTTTTGTGGAAATAAAGTCAATACGTTTCGGCAGCTGATCAATTTTTAAGCCCGTTGGTTATCTATACATGCAGAGCGAGAGGCTGATAGGAACCTGTCAACAGTGAAACAGGTATTTGCTGACCCTCAGTTCCCAGCTGTTGTTTTTTATGAACTCAAGAAAACGTACGATTGATTATGATCGGCTGGAGCGATGTGTACACACAAACCAATACCTGATATGATCACAACTGTGTGACTGTATATAGAGGGACATGGGGGTTTGAGCCGAGATCGAGATTTTGAGGCTTATCTTGATAATTAGATGCACGTATAATTGGCAGAAGTGTACCCAACTAGATACAAACTATCGAATGTATACAATCAACCCGTTTAGTCAATGAAATTTATCATTTGCTGAAAAAGAATTGAAGAAAATGACTAATTAATTGCAATGACAAAATTTCACATTTCGTTACGCCTGAACAGTAATAGAACAACGGGCGGACCTTGATCTTGACCCTGGGCACAAATCAATTGGGTACACTCAACTACTAATCGATAAATTTACACGTTACCCATTTTCCGACCATTGTATAATCCGGTTTGAATTATCCCAGTTGTGCGGTTAAATTTCTAGTTCAATCAAGCGAATCTGACTGCCCCAAATAAATCCTGGCAGTGGACAATCGAATAAATTTTTGATCATCACTACAGACCGGACTGACTTATGCGAATAGTCATCCATCAAATCGATAGCCCTTCCCCATTCGGATCTCCTCTTTTCCAAAAAAATAGAATTANNNGTGCATTTCTACAGCCCCATTACTTCCGTTTCTCTGATCTCGAAACCATACTATCCCGGTAATCATGACTGGGTTTCTTTTTACCGTCATCTTCATGCACAGCTGTATATAACTCTCCAGAAAAAAATATTAGCCACATAATTGAGACAGTTCAGGGAATTCATTCGCGTTCTTATGCAACCGTGCTTTACAATGCGAAGAAATCTCTTTCACGATCAGATGCATGTTCTGGTAAACGAGTGGCTGCTCATTGGGACACAGCTGGAGNNACTAGGCCACACACCCCCCCCTCCACACACACACACACACACACACACACACACACACACAGCCAAACTCAATGTGTTCGAAGCAGTATCGATTTGTTTCACCCGTGACTAATTCAAACGCTTACGACAGTGAGAAAGGGAAAGAGAACACCGAGAAAGAAAGGGCACAAAAGTGAATGCCAATCTATTCCTGGTGGTATTGGTAATGGAGGGGCGAGTAAAGTTAAACTATTGGACGAGGATGGTGGCCCGGTGGTAACGTCACCAAATTATCTCTCCCGGGGATGTGTATTCGAACCCCACCACTACCGCCAGACTTTCCCCCATTATGTGTTGAATGGCAGCCCTTTCTTTGATTGGCCACTTCCCTCTTCCTGAGAAGTGTATCTTTGTGCATTCAATAAAAAAAGGAAGTGAAAAGAAAAAGAAAAAAGAAAGTGGAAGATCGGGACAGATGTAAAAAGACAAAACGTAAACGATACCCCCCCCCCCCCCCGAGGTGAGATAAGTAATGGATGCTCAGTTACGGAAAATCGGTCTTCTAATAAGATTGTTGACGTTGAGTACGAATCAACAGTCGGAAACCGAATTTCATGGGGCACTGGTCACAGAAGTGTCAAATGAGAGGAAACCCAATCGTGTTCGCACTCTCGGCACCCCTAATCTCATCCCGTGCTATCGGCAGAGATCAATAGTGTCGGCAAGCGGATCACATTGTCAATAAGCTATTACGCATGACTGGACATGTGATCTGGTCGCAATTCATGCACCGGGCACGGAGTACGGATTCGTGGTGGCGGTAAAGCTCGCAGACGGAGAGAGAGAAGAACAGAATGACAATCAATGTCGCCGTCGTCGTCGTCGTCGTCGTTAATACCGCCACCGCCGTTATCCAGTGAATTCTTGAAGGGAAAGTGATCAATCACTTCGGTAATGCACAAACTGAAAAAAGAATCCCCCGACTGGGATTTCGCATGAAAACGCGTGAGCAAAGAGTGGACGATCGTGTTTGTGTGTGTGTGTGTATGTGTGTCTACAAGGTTATAATGTGATAACGGATTAGTGGTTCCGGGATATAAGAGAATTATTTTTAGTCATGGAATATGATTATTACTTGTTTCTTTCGTTTCTCCACAACCCATCGTGTCAAACACGCTTACCAAATTCCCGGAGAAACTAAAGTTGACTTGTTATAGACCACTGAGAATGACAAAATTACTAATGATCCTTCTTCACATACGAACCGTATTTCATTCAGCGAACCATATACTCGGAGAGCATTAGACTCCACTACCCCCCCCCCCTCTTCGCACTCGTTAAACCTTACCATCGATCTATATCCACCGACCTATCACCTGGTGTTTAACTCTGGAGTCCTCAACAAACAGTCCGAGTGTTACTACTATTGTTATGACATACTACTCACATTTGTGAGTAGTTTGTGCGCACCCGGAAGCCGCTGTTGGAGTCTCACGGTATCCTCGAGTGGATTACCGGATTTACTGCTGGAACTACAGAAGAGATAAACAGTCTGACAGACTGACGACCACGGATGAGGAGATGATCACGAAAATGATAAGCAATTGTTGCAAAGTACATGTTCCGTTCTGTGCAACCCCAATTGCCCCTGTCCAATGCTGTTGTGCAAGTAAATAACACTCCTCGTCCCGGCACTGAATTGTGGAACTGTAACATCGTATCCATCAAATTGCATTGGATCCAACCAGTGATATTGGTTCAAGTTTACTCGGATGTTTTTTCAGTGATAATCAGTCAGCTCTTAAAGCATGATGGCAACGAACAGAGACACTGTATGATAGCTGTTAACCTCATTCAAAAGCTCACAGCGACAAATGACGTCTTCCATACAGGTTACAGTACACGCAACCAAGTAAATTTGATAGGCTTGCTTCAAAGTTGATTTAACTCAGAGCTATTTGTAAGCGGTGTTGTGAAATGCGTGAATGATTTACAGACTATTTTGTATGATTCATTGATGAACTCTAACGAAAGCGAAACAGGAATCCAGTTAGTTTTAAGCGTCTACTTGACGGACAGATCGATCACAAAAGCATACAGTCAACGGAGATCACACTTACCTCGTTCAATCGGGCTGGGATCATGAGGAAACACGACATGCGGGAGTCGATCCTGCGGACACTGGGTACAACGCAGTGGTAATATACCGTAGGTACTATTCGAGGTCTGGATGAGGCCTCTGAATGAAGCGGTAAGAAACGGGAGGGAGGCGGATGATATCAGGTAACAACAGTCCAACTGGTTGGCCAAAAACTATTAACCTTAATGGAAAAGTGACTACCTGAAAAGTATTCACCAATGTAGGGATATAAAACACCGGCACAAAAAGAATTTCTAAACGTGGGACATTTTAAAACACCAGGCACCGTAAAAATGACTCCCATTTGGACAAGTTTCGAGAACGGACGCTAAGATAGTTCGTTTTGAAGGAATATATCATTCACAAGGAAAATACCAATGTGTAACGCGATAGGACATATTGACAAGTTACATGTTTTATTTTGGAGCACCGGAGCAATTTGCCTCAATGGATTGANCCCCCCCCCCCCCGGTGAGATTCATATTCCGATCAGCTGGGCATTCTGGCTGAGTTCGATTATCTTCTAGTAAAAAACACGGACCTACCTCGAGTTGTGTGGATCCTCAACAAGCCTCAATGACAGCTTGAACTGTAACCCTCTACCTGAAGAATATTGTTCAGTTCAATTCAGTTCAGTTTTTACAACAATTAACCATGCTTTTTCGTGTACCGGTTTTGGTTGTTGTCTTTTGGCCGCTCGATCGGATAAAACAGTAGAATAAAGATCGGAATGTTGAGAGCAAATTCAAACGGAAGATAGAGAATTCATGTAGA